GCCCTGGAAGACCAGTCGAACGGTCTTTGCAGATGATCGATCGCTGGCTATGGTTGATGATGAACAGCCGAACAGCTGTTCGCCTCACAGAGCAAAAACCACTCGGTCGGACAGGTTCTAGCTCTGTCCTCCGTTCCTTCCACTGGGCAGAGGACGCGAGGCACATCTTCGTGCATACTTTAAACGGACAATTTTTTAGGCGCACCGGTTTGGGGACAGCAAAGCCGAGGTACAAAAATACCATATCAAATGGGTCAATTTCTCGGTCATCAGTGCCATCATGAGGAGCAACTGTGTTTCTTTGTTGAACAATGGCCAATGAATTTTGACTAAGTGTTGGCGTAATTTATTAAAGTTGTTTTACTCAAGCCTTATTAGTGCCGGAAGTCGTTATATCTGAAGAAAATGACAGGAAATCTGTAGCCGCTAGCATGTCTGTCTCCCTTTCATAGCGCATCTGATGCGCGCTAATCTCGTTTCAACGTCATCATCATATTATCCATAGCAGAAAATTTTCCCTCTATTAATTATTATGAAGACACTAGGCCATCGGGTTTTCAGCAGCTATTCTGCAGACTTGCGTCCCCCAGTTGTTAATCTTTGCCAAACAGGAGAAGTTTGTAAAGACTCACCTTCAAAGATTCAGGTTCAATGAATGGATGTTTCAGTTCAGCCTCAGGTTCAATGAATGGATGTTTCAGTTCAAATACATGTTCCGTGATTGCTGAATTTTCCCTATGATCATTCGGTAAGCAAATTGTTAATCTGCAATACGGAACCTAAGTCAGTAAAAGGTTTACCTGCGTAAACCATACTGCGCCCTTTACATTTGAATTTATAAACGAGGTTGGAATTTTCTTAAAGCAGTCTCTTACCATGCTTACTGAATGGACCACAATTAACGCACTTTCTTCATATGTAATCAATTATAAAAGTGAATTCTGTGCTGAAAGACGATATCTTTGCGTTAGAGCTTAAACAATGAGCTGTAATTGCCTAGTTTAATACTTAGAATGAGGGTGGGAATTCAGAATGAAACAGGAATTCATTTTGAAAGTTTTGATGGCTAAAGTTTGGCTGATATTACCGAGGTGATTCGAGGGACAATTTTATTATTAATGAAAAAGCTGTTCTTTATAAATTAACGGAAATAATAGGTTAAACGAGAACTCATTACCGTGGCGGTACCTTTCGGCAGTGCATTTCAGCGAAGAGAGTTATCACTTTGCACCTGAAAATATGTTACGCAATACTAAGTACTGTAGTATGATATTTGCCATTTTATCTCATGTTGACTTTACACCGCAACAAAATGTCATTTATTGGTTAACATCGCTTTGCATTTCAAACCATAGATCGATGAAAAAACAATGGAATTTCTCATCGGCCACAACATTAGAGAGGCTTTTAATTTGGTCGAGTGATTAATTGGGTTACTAATAATCGCTGGTTGAATTGAGTCGTTGAATGTAATTTTGCTATGAGAATACTCTTGACTATTTGACATTTCTTGCCTGTTTCATAAAGCCCGTAAACATGCATGCATTTTTTGCAAAGGACCGAGAATTGAGATTTTTCAGAAGAAATGAAAGAACAATTTAATAACCATTTACTTTGGTTTCAGGCAAGTTACAAAACAAAAAGGACTGAAAGTTAATAGTTCTCGCATTACGATCCATGATTCAAGTCAAAAAATAAAAATAAAGATGCAAAATTTTTTATTATCGATGCATTTCGACGCCGCACACCGCATGATCATCCGGGTAACATGTAAATCAGAACTTGTATTATCAGCGACAATTTGTACAAAAATAATTAGTTTATTATTATTGTGATGATTGCACTGATGTGCAGCATCGAAACGAGTTTATAAACACAAAATTCTGCATCATCCTTTATAAATGTTGCTTTTAATCAAGGATCGGCCGCTGAGGACCCTTAACTGTTATTCAAACAGGCAACGAATCGATACCTCATTCCATTCTTACTATAACTGGAAGTCTCCGGACTCTGATTTGAACATATTTAAAAATTTAACATGAAAGAATTAGTTAAAACCAATTGCGCATTCTTCATTTAGTTTGGAACACAAGTCGTTTGACCCATATACTTTCAGAGTCGTTTTCGAAAAGGATAAGAATATATCACAGACTAGCATCCAAAGGACCCGTCTCATCCATCAGAACTAAATAAAAATTATATAAAAAATTCAAAGCGCATGAAAATCTTGAGGCAGTCACGACAGATCTAATATGTAGCAAGATGTGCATCCAAGAAGAAATTTATACGATTAGCAGTAACCAACATTCTGTTTTGTCATACTTTTATTCAATACTCTGACCTCTGCTTTCTCTTCTCTTATCATATTTCTGTATACAAAAGATCTATTCCGTTTCTATGAAGCAATGACTGATAAACAATATCAGCTTCTGATGGAACTGCATATGAAGGTAACTAAAATACTACAGCTTCGGCAGGAAAGGCACGCTTCACTCACTGTATTTTTGATCCACTTCAAGTTCTGCGTGATCTTCAAATCATGTATCCACCTTGTCAACAGCCTATAAACATCATAGAGGAGGTGGAAAGGAAATTGATCCCTTGTAAAAATAAACAGCATAATACGTTCCCTGTGGTTGATGTAGGAAGTCTAATAAAACGACTGTCATCGATCTTTTCATAGAAGATATTAATCATTGGTCATAAATGTTATCAACATCACACGACTCTACAAACCGAAGCCAGGTTATGACGTCTGGCAGTTTCAGAATGAGTTACACAGTACGTTACTGATGTTCTTAAAGCCAGCGTTCCTTATATGGCAACATCCAGTTACCGTTTTCTGAAACGCCGCAAGCGTTTCAACCGATAGGAGGCCACCGTAGACTCATCGATAAATCCAGCCCCCCCCCCCAAATGAAACCGAAGGAAACATCAGCAAC